AGTTATGATGTGTAAGTATTTTGTAGGTTTTCATAAAGTTGATTTACTTTGTATTTCGAAAGTTAGGTTCATAATTGCTCTTTTTGATGCTTGATTTTTCAACTTTTCATAAGGTATTTGATATAGATAATGAGCATAATAACTATGATTTTTAACTCTTCTAGCCATATTTGGGTCAAGTGGAATGATATATATGTTAATTTCATTACTATTTGCATGAATAACCAATTTATTCAGGGAGAAACTTGGTTTACTGATTATATTTTTATCTATTTAACTTTCATTTATGCTTCTAATTCTGGACCTTTAATAACTCTGGACCTTTAATAATATGATTTAGCTTAATGATATTCATGATTTGGCATCCTTGGTCTTGTTTTACACATGGTATAATCATATGGTTGTTCGAGTACCCCATTCATATTAAACTTGGCAGGGTGATGGTGAATGACTTTTGGCTTGATAATTTTTCTTTCCTTTCATAAAGTGGAAGGCCCTTTATATTCTGATTACTCCCCTTTGATTTTTGATTTAAACAATAATGTGTTTGTTAATCATCGATTCATATTAAAAAACTTTTGGCTTAAACATCATGATTATTGGGATGCTCTCGCTTCTTCTATCTTAATGAATTTTAATGGTGATCCTATTAATATTTGGTATAATATAAATATTAATCTTAAAAGAAAAATTAAATCTAATCATTGATCATTTTTGTTCTCTCCTTGCTACCCAGTCTCTAATATGAAAATTTAATAAAAATATTGTTTAGATTTACTTAATAGTAATCCTCTATCTTATTCCCTCCATTCTCAGTTGAATACTATTAATGAAAAGCTCTCTTAACTTCATGATTCATTGGCCTCTTGGATTTTCCAAAGGGCCAAGGTTAAGTGGCTCCTTTATGGTGAGGATGATCTGATTTTTTTTTTCTTAGAAAATAGATTCATATAGAATTATAATGTTATTAAGAGTATTACTACTACAGATGGGTGCTTCTCTTCCCCAATGATATCAATTTTTCTCCAATCAATCATTTTACTAATTTGTTTAATTATACTTCTCATGTTTTTAAGATTCCTGACAATCTCCCTATTGCTCCTGTCATTGATGATGAGATTAAAAGAGTAATTTTCTCTAGTCCTAACTCCTCTACCCCTGGTCGTGATGGCTTCACCTTTGAGTTTTATAAGAAATTTTGGCTTATTATTAGCAACAAGGTCTACAAGGCTATTAAACATTTTTCTCACCTCCTTTCTCCCAAAAAAACTAAGGCTACTACTATTGCCCTTATCCCCAAAGGCCCACATGCCTCCCATATCAAAGATTATAGACTTATTTCCTTGTGCAACACCTTCTACAAAATTCTTACAAAAATATTAGCTTTGAGGCTCAAACTTGTCATACATTCTATTATTCATTCTAGCCAATCTAGGTTCATCAATAAGAGAATTGTCACTGATAATATCATTCTTGCTTTTGATATCCTTTCTAAATTTAATTTCTAAGGAAAGTCTAAATATTTTCATGCTATATTAACATTTTAAAAGCATTTGACACTTTCATGAAGTTTTCTTTTTCATATGATGCTTCGAAAAGGCTCCTCGGAGGCTTTTGTTTCTTGGATTCATACTTGCATCCATGATGTTCCTTTTTCCCATTTGCTACAATGGGGGGTTGCATAGGTTTTCAAACTCTTAATCTTATTTTAGGCAAATTTGTCCCTTATCTCCTTATCTTTTTAGCATAATCATGGATGTGTTTTCTAATCTTATGTATAGTTGCAATAGGTCCTCTCCTTTGTAAAGCTTTTGTCATGTTGGTTCTTCCATTTCTCATTTACTTTACGTTGATAACATGATGATATTTGGTAAAGCCATTATTGATAATGCTCATATTTTAGATAATAACTTCCTTTCCTTTAAGAATACTTATTGGCTTAGACTTAATCATGCATGACAATATGTTCTTTCCTTCTCAAAAGACACCATCAACCACAAGAGCATTGTTGACTTTCTTAAGCTTTCCTCGAGTGATGGGTTCTTTAAATATTTAGGAATTTCCATTACCTCTATGAAACTTAGAGTGGCTAATTTCTCTCCCTTCTTGCCTTAAATTGTTAATATGATAGGGGGTTGGAAGGCTAAACTCTTATTCTTTATTGGGAGAATTCATTTTATAAAGTTTAACATTTGGAACACCATTACCTATTGGATAAGGGTATCCATTACACCTAAATCTTATTATAATTTTATTGGTAAGTGTTATGCCATATTCCTTTTTTGATGGTCATGCTCAAGGTAAAAAGCATCATATTGTCTCATGGAGGAATACTTGCCTTCCTATGAATTTATGTTGTCTTGGTCTTCCTTCCATCTCTACCTTAATTCATGCATATTCTTCTTCTTTAATTTGGAGATGCCTCTCTTCTGACTCTCTCTTTAGTTGTTGGTTTAAGGACTTTTATATCTCCTTCTAGAAGCCTATCTCTAAGAAAGCTTCTACTTGTTTGAAGCATTTGACCAAGATGGTTGGTTTGATTAAACCTAATATTTCCTTCAAGATTGCTAATGGAAAAAAAATTACTCTTTGGTGGGATCCCTGGGGTGCTGGGAAATCTTTCGATGAGTTCTCAGTTGTGTATGTTGTTGTTCTTCCTTCTAATTCTACTTTGGTTTCTTTTATCTCTGTTGAGGTTAGGTCTAATTCGCAAGATCCCCTCCCGCATAACTCTATTTTTATTATTAATCTCTCTAATGCTAAAGTTGATTTGCCTTTGTGGTGTAATATTGAAAATCATACTTCTAAAAGATTTCCTAAGTATTATTATCAAATTTATGAGGAGGTTAACAGGCTTAAATTTATTTGGCATAAAAGATTTTTGTAGGTTCACTTTTTTTTTTGGCTTGGCTTGCTATGCCAGGTGGCCTCAAAATTGTTGACCAACTTCTTTGAAGGAGCATCCCAGTAGACCCTTTATGTCCCCTTTGTCAGAGTTGTGGTGAATCAGTTTCTCACCTATTCTATGAATGTGATTTCTCTTTTAACATTTTAAAAATGATTGTCTTCCCTGGTGCTACTATTTTTTTCGTTTTAGACTTAACATAATTAAAATCTTTAACTGCATTAACGGATATCCTAAGCTAATATAAACTCTAAAAGTGACTCATGTTTGACTATTTGTGCTACCATCTACTACATTTGGCGTGAAAGTAATAGTAAAAGGAATGGTGATTCTCATTCCTTTATCAATACTTGTTTGTTATTGATTAGAAAGGCTATTAAAACCAAAAATTGTTGTTGGAAAATTCATGAAAGATGTTTTAGACTTTTTTTATGAATTCTTTTTTCCGACTATGTTGCGTTTTATCTCTGGATCTTCTAGATTGCGAGCGTGCTGCTATTGGTGCCTTGGGATTTATTTGTCCTCTTGATTTTTCTGGGGGTGTTTCATTTTGTATGTTGGGGCTTTTTTTTATGATGTGGCTGCTTTCCTCCCTCTCCTCGGATGGTCTCGGCTTTGCAATGGCAACCTTGGAGGCATTTTCAATTATCATGGTTCTCCTTATTTATGATTATGGATGCTTAATTTATGATGCTACATCTCTTAGCCTCTTCTCTATTTTTGTTGAGTAACTTTTGGATGGACTATTTCTATTGTCATGTGCTTACATAATTTTTTCTATGTAATTTTGGGATTGTTGCCTCTAATGGAGGGTCCGTAGCCTTGGCAACCAGGTGAGCCTTCTCCAATATGTGTATCTTTTACAGAAAGGTTGGCCTTTACCTGGAGAAATTATTCAGTGCTGACGCCGGACCATCCAGAGACGAATCAGAATGCACCACGTCACTCGATACACAACAAACAGATAGTATGGCGCATTCTGACTTGCCTCCGAACTGCGTCCGTATCCGCACAGAATAATTTCCTCTTTACCCGAGTCTTGTTGACTATTTACCTTTATTCTATTTTTATTTTATTTTTATGCTCTTTGACACTTTTAGAGGTTATTATTTGCAACGTTTAGATATCACATTGTTTTGCTGATTGCGTCTGCCTTTTGGGGAGGCTTCTCTATATACATATACTGTTATTTTATGAATAAGGAGAAATCTCCTATAATTTTTCAAAAAAAAAAAAAGGGACATTTTGAGTTAGTCTTCAACTTCAGCTGCTTGTGCCACGTGCCATTAGTAAGCAATGATATACCACGTGGCATGTCGTGGAGACGTAGATGAAATTAATTAGTGCGTTGGTGACATGCGGCATTTTGATCATTATAGTGAGTGCTGGACCTGTGGTCTGGGTATAGTTTTTTAAATACAAATACTAAGTAAGATAAAAGAGAGAATATATATATATATATATATGGGCGGATCTATCTTATATAGGTTTATATGATTCTTTATGTAATTTATCCCCCTTCATGTATTTTTTAATCTTTATTATAAGGATTTTTAGGCAATTGTCCCCCCTAAAAGTTCTAAAATACTATGGTCTTTAGGCAATTGTCTCAACATAATTAAACACATTGTGTAGAGATGTTATTGTTAGAGAACGATAAATCAAATACAAAGAGAAATACCAAAGAGAATCTAAAAATATCCTTACAACCAAAAATATCGAACCCAACCAAGGGGCGCTGCCCCCTTGAACCTCTGACATATATGCTAAGCGTACAATGATCAAGGATATGAACAAATGGGGGTCGACAGGCAACGCCCTCGGAACAAATAATTTTGGTTATAAGGATCTTTATGAAAAAAAAAAGTCTACACTTTTACTTATAAATTTGCCCCTCCTAAAAATTAAGACTGGTTCTGCCCATATATATATATATAAAGAGAGAGAGAAAAAATTTATCTAAAAATCTTCGAATTAATCAAATACAAACAAATAATTCGTGAATGTTAAAAGATTTTGTATGATTATTTTTTTATTTATCTACTTATATATGGCTCAACATTCTTATAAATATTAACCATCCAACATCACATGCACTACCATCCTGCACAACGAAAAAGCTAAGCAAATTGTCACACCCCTCTCTCCTCTCTCTACTACTTTTCCTGTGTGCTGCTTCCCTCCACTTATATGCTTCTTAGTTCTTGTTATCACTCTATAAGTAGACTGCCAGTTCTCCCAACATCTCCAGCATCTCTCTCTCTCTCTCTCTCTCTCTCTCTCTCTCTCTCTACTTTCTGTATACTTGTTATTTTGGAAGGAGGGATGGGCGAAGCAGCTGTGCAGGATGTCTACTTCATCAATGGAAGCTCTGAGAAGGAAAAGCAGAAGTGGTACGAGGAAGAAGTCGACGATGATCTTAAGCTGTGCTACTCTTTGAACAGGTGATCGTAAGGTTTTGAAGCATGGCTTCCAACAATATTATCTTTCTTTGAATTGATCAGCTCAGTAAATAGATCGTCGTATTTTTTAAATACTAAGTTATATAATGATTCTTTAGTTGAAGGAATCACTAAGTTTACTTCTTTGATTTTGGTTAGTGTTCTTCATAGAGGGACGAGCAAATACCAAGACATAGCTCTACTTGACACCAAGCATTTTGGGAAGGTTAATTGTATTTCATGACTCACTTTTCCATTGTGATTTGTTTTTGCAATGCATTAATAGGAGTGTCAATTAAAAATCATAATCAATAATCCAATCCTAATAACTTGAAAATTCGGGTGATTATTATTTGGGTCAATTTAATATTTGAAATTTTGAACCGATTCATTTTTTGATATTATTCATGTTAGTGCAAAAATTCAAACTAGGCTCGAAATTGGTCTGATTATTATTCAGGCTTAAGTTAAACGAGTCAAATTCTGATTAAACAAATCATATTTTTGAATTAAATGTCTTATCTAAGTTAAATGGTCATATTAACAAGAACAATATCATCATCAATATCATCATCAAGTCTTTATCCCATTATGTTGGGTCGATTACATGAATCTTTTTTTCCATTGTGCCTTGTTAAAAGTTTAATTCTCATTTAAATCTAATAAAAAAATATTATTTTTAATTATTATTATTATTTTAAGGGATTAACCCAAATTTGTTCACTAAAGTAGAGGTTACAACCAAGCTCCAGCAAAACCAAACAAAATTACAAGAAAAATACATCAAAAGAATAACAACCTCAACAAGGAGAAGTCGCTACAAAAGCTGCAATTGTGCCAAAAAACTCAGCAAAATAAAAACCAATCAGACTTAGGAAGTGCCATGAAGCTTTCTACAACCATCCGCAGCCAATCAAGGGCTATCTATTGAAATGTCATTTCTAATATTTTATAACGAAGTCTTTTTAGGTTTACCTTTATCTTTCTTAACATAAGTCAAATATAATATATCTACTTTCCTAATTGGGTCATTAGAAGGCCGTCATTTTATGTGACCAAACCGTCTAAGGCGTCTCTATCTAATCTTACTTCCACTGGAACTATTCAAACCTTTTCACGTATATGCTTATTTCATATCTTGTCATATTAATCTAAAAAAAATTATAATATATATAATAAGTACGTAGGTCGTATTTGTGTCAAATATTTTAGTTAGATCAATTTCAATCGGATCCAAACTCGACCCTTCAATCCGAATTGACACTTCTATCATTAACAATAGTTGTATTATAATATAATAATGATAATGACACTCTAACAAAACTATATTAAAATGATGATAATGATTTGTTTATGTCAATTTTCAGGCTCTATTGATTGATGGGAAAATGCAGAGCACAGAGATGGATGAGTTCATCTACCATGAATGCTTGATTCATCCTGCCTTATTATGCCACCCTAAGCAAGTTCTTCCTTGCTTTTTTTTTTTTCTTTTATCAACCTAATTTTCAGTGATAATTGTAATTTATTTATTCCAATAATTTTAAGAAGAACCTCAGAAATAATTATATTTTCGCAACCAATTGTTTTATTTAAAATTTACTTGATTTGATGTGTTTAAATTGCAATATAAATTAAATTTGGCACTAATTTTTTTATATTTTTTTCATAAAATTTTATTTAAAAAAATGAACTAATGAAATAAAATAATTTTATCGAGCACCATTAACATCTAAATTTATATATATATATATACCACCGAATTTTTATGTATTTATATATTTAACATCTAAATTTTTATATTTATTTATAAAATATTTAAATATTTAAGTTACATTAAAATATTATTAGTATTAATTTATTTAAAATATGTATTCTTTCTTATATAATTTAAATATTAAATTAGTCCTATTATTTGATTTAATATTTTCTATTACTTGTTAAGTATAGTTTTAATTAATAATGATTATATTATTGCAGGCCAAAAGCGGTTTTTATTATGGGAGGTGGGGAGGGGTCCGCCGCAAGAGAGGCACTCAAGCACAGAACCATTGAGAGAGTTGTAATGTGCGACATTGATGAGGTTATTTTCTTCAATTTTACTTGTTCTATCTTTACTAAAACGGATTTTTATTAGTTAAATAAATATAATTTTCAGGGACTTTGATAAAAAATTATTAGGTGGGAAATCATGCACCCTTTCTTTATTTTGAGAATCGACAAAATAAAAGTTTTGTCTTAGATTTCTTTTGGGACATTTTTCTTACTGCTTCTTAAAGCAGCTTTTTATTATCAAAATTTTAATTTTTGTATTAGAAAGCAGTTTTAAGAAATAGTAAGAAAGTTGCCCCAAACGAAGCCTTATAATTTTTGGGTGAATGCATTTAGTGAGATAGTAAAATAGTTAAAATGTTTATTCTATCAAGAAAAATAATCAAAATTGATAATTTCTCACCTTGAGCTCTTCCTTGGTCTGTCGCTGATTATTAAAATATTTTCATAGAAATTATATCAAGATGAACTTAAAAATCGTCCGATTTACAATCAGATTAGTCTAATACAAATTCTTTGTATGTAGCACTAATCTCAAAGCAAATCTAATGATTTCAAGCCCACCCTGATGCAAGTTATAAGAGAATACCAGGATCAAATATTTAGATTAAAAATAAGGGGGATTTATATGCATACTACTTTTTACATATATAATACGCAAAACATTAATATTATATATCTATCACCCTGGAACAAATTTGGATGCATGAAATAAAATATTAAAGTTTATAATGATATGAGTGGTAGGAATGAAATATGGGAGTTATATATTTGATATTAAATTTGTATATAAGTGGTAGGCATATAATATTAATGTTTTTGATGTTAAATATATAAATATCATAAAAATAAAGTTATATGAATGTTAATTCCCCTATAAAGTAAAATTAATCAACTAAAAGTTTAATTATACCTATTTAATAAATAAAAGATTAATAATAGTCAAAATATATTGAACCATTTTTTTATTTTTTTTATTGGAGTGTAAAGTATCAAATATTTTGTTTGCATAATAAATACAAAAACATTTAAAATTCTATAATTTAAGTGCATAGCGCACCATAGAATCCCCTTTGCCCAAAAGTAAGCTGACGTGCATTCCATCTTTTTGAAGACGTTAATTTCTTAATGTTTTTTACGACAATAATATCTGCCTTGAAAATATTATTTTTAATTTTATAAGTTTATGTTTATGAAAAATTTTTTATATTAAAAATTGTTAATTTAAAAAATGGGAGGTGTGCAGGTGGTGGTGGACTTCTGTCGGCGCCATCTGACTGCGAACAGCGAGGCCTTCGCCAATGAGAAGCTTTGCCTCGTCATCAATGATGCCAAGTGAGAAAATCCTCTTTCAACGCATCAAGATTTAGGCTAAGTTTGGGGATTAATTATTTCATGTGGACTATGAACGTCGTCTGGAGACCTGTCAGAATACACAACGTTACCTTTTGTTCGGTACTGCTCGGTGCCACTTGGTACCGTAGCTCGATACCATTGACATGGCACATTCTAGTCGGTCTCTGAACGGCATTCGGTGTCCAATCTCCTGACAAAATAATTTCTCATATTTGGGACAACTTTCAGATTGCTTTTTAAAATAATTTTTTAATTAAAATAAAAATTTTGTATTAAAAACTGATTTAGATAACAGTAAGAAAACGATCCCAAACAAAAATTTTGTGGGGCTTTTACCTGTATGTATTTAGGCTTCGTTTTCTAAAATAGCTTTTTTAATACAAAATTTCTTAAGAGCAATAAAAAAATGATTAAAAGTTGTCCCAAATGAAGCCTTAAGGTCTATCTATTTAGGGAGAAATTATTCTGTGCAGAGTTCAGATGGGAAGAACTGTTCGGACTATGAATGTACACACTGTGTACACACAATCAGGATAATTCTTCCTATATGTATTATATAATGTACTTGTTATTAGTAATATAAGATATTAAATGATTGGTAGTTATATTTTGAGCTTAATTAATTGGTTATTGTAAATATAAAATTTTAGCAATAAAAGTTTTGATTTTTCATATATTTAAGAATAATGGTGCTATAAATTAACATGGTTTTTTATATTTCAGGGCGGAATTGCAGAAGAGAGAAGAGAAATATGATATGATTGTGGGAGATCTGGCTGATCCTATGGAGGGAGGTCCATGCTATCAGCTCTACACTAAATCCTTCTACGAGAAAGTCCTCAAGCCCAAACTGCAGCACCATGGCATCTTTGTTACTCAAGTAATTTTCTTTATTATTAATTACTGTGCTAATTAATTATAATTAACAAGACATATTAATTAATGTTTATTTTCCTCTAATCAGACCTCTTTTTAATGTAATAATGTGTTCTTTTTATTTTATTTTGAGTTTTGTTTATATTTTGAATAAATGCAGGCTGGACCGGCTGGGGTTCTCACGCACAAAGTGGTCTTCTCATCAATATATAATACCTTACGGCATGTCTTTAAATGTGAGTCCTTAACTCCATGAAAAATGAAGAATGATAAACTCCTAAATAAAGTCACTTTTAAAATATTTTTTTATATCATATAATAGAATAAAAATCCCAACTCATAAGAATATATATATATATATATATACTTCGTTTGGGATAAATATATATCAATTTTTTTTCTTGCTTTTAAGATATTTTTGTATTAAAAAATAACATTACAAAGCAGTAAGCAGGGGCGGAACTATATATATAATATATTTTTTTAATATTTAATTATTTTTGTGTTGTATTTTTGCCCCCCCTCAAAGTTAAAGCCGGTTCCGCCCCTGGCAGTAAGAAAGCTGTCCCAAACAAAACTAAGGACCTTTTTGGAACAACTTTCTCGCCACTTTGTTTTGTAGACCGCAATCACAATTTTATTTGTCAATTTTATTTGTCAATTGTGTTTCTTGTTGTTTTCCATAAATTACATGTTGTCATAAGAAGATGCTTTTTTGTGTAAGATTTATGCTTTGTTTTGGGATTAATTATTTTGTGCAGACACCAGACGAGAGAACCGTCCGATTTTATCTTTGTGAATAGTAATAGCGTGTTGATTGTTCATTGAGACAAAACCGAATTGTTTTTCTCGTCTGCTGTCCGCACAGAATAATCTATCTTTTTTGAGGCAACCTCTTGCCACTATTTTTTTCACTGATCTAAAAAAAAATACTTGAAAGTAGTTTTAGATAACAATAAGAAAATTGTCTCAATTGAAGCCTTACTTTTGTGTGGCAACTGTAAGAACACTACTATCATATTCTTTCCAGAAAGAATATATTTATAACATTCACAACAACTTTCAAAAGATTTGTTTTCCCCACAATAATTTTACAATCACATTTACAAAATATTACAGTCATATCAAATAGACCCTAAGATATTGAATGCAAAAGTCTATGAATTCTCAATCATAAATAATAATAAAAAAATTCAAATAATTAAAGAAAGATAATTACAACCCATAACTTACTCTCTATGTCAATCAAATCAGTTGTCCAATATCTATTAGAATGCCCTCTATATACATATTTGCACAATTATGATATTCTTTATTTTAATTTTCACAAGTTCAAATCTAATTTAAATTACTTTATTTATTTCAATATTTACTAAAATGAAAATATTTACTCATATTGCCACAGATGTGATTGCCTATACAGCTCACGTGCCATCTTTTGTTGATACCTGGGGATGGGTAATGGTAAGTATACTGATTCTGTAATAATATTTCGGTTGACATTTGTAAAAGCAAGCTTATCACATTCTCTTGCTCGTCTTCTCTTTCTGCATTTGTTTAAGGCATCTGATCAGCCATTTGAGCTGAATGCTCAACTAATAAACGAAAGGATTGGTGAGAGGATAAATGGAGAGCTTCTTTATTTGAATGGAGAGTCGCTGGTGTCCTCCACCATCATGAACAAAAGTGTGCACCAATCGTAAGTATCCAAGGCTTTTCTTTTTTATTTTTTCTTCCACTACTTCTTTCTTTCTTTCTTTCTTTTTTATGAATATTTGAAAAAAAATAATAACAAAATTGATAGATGAAATCTTAGGTTTCATTTGGGATATTTTTTTTATTATTTTATATAGCATCTTTTTAGTACAAAAATTTTTTAAAAGTGATAAAAAAATAGTAGCGAAAAGCTGTCTCAAATTAAGCTTTAGTTATAAATGAATATTGATATGTATGTACATTATATGGATTTTATACTAAAATTAAGAATGAAAATTATGTGCATTTAATATAAATTGTTTTAAAATTATTTGATCTATTTAAAAAAGCATTATGAGTGAAAATTTCTGTCACAACAGCAAAATAGTCATAATTCACAACTTTTTAATCCTTGTTATAGGTGTAGATTTGCCACAGTTTTAACCGCCGCAAATACCCCATTATTTTGATTAATAAAACCATCGGAAATCACAACGTTTCGATTTTTCACCACAGTAGTTCAAAACAGCAGCAAAAGATCTTTGTTGTAGACACTAACTATGACGGTCTTGCAATAATTTTGGAACTTCTAAATTGTTTTTTTTTGGCAGTTAAAACCGCAGTTGTAGCATACTTCAAGGGCAAGCAAAGCCCTATTTTATTGTGAGATATATACTGATTATGTCTTGTTAACAACTGGTAATTTTGATTTTATTTTATGGCAATTTCAGGCTATTGAAAGAAACTCATGTCTACACTGAAGAGAATGCAAGATTTATTCATGGTCATGGGAGAGCTTGTTGTGCTTGACCTCTTTCTCCTCTCAAACAAAACAAAATGGCAGGCATCTAATAGGCTCTCTTTACATTCTCCATGCAAGGACCTATCAAAAAAGTTACCACAGAATGTCTTATCTTGACATTTTTTTGCCTTTTTTCTTACACAACTGTGTCTAAATGTGTTGGTTGTGAGTCTTCTAATTAATAATAGAAGCAAAGAACCCCAATAAATTGATGAGCAACCGGTTACTCTTTTTCTTCTTCTTCTTGGTCTCTTCTATTCATTTATGGCAACAATTTGGATTCATGCCGAGTAGGTCTATTATGGAAGCTATTTATTTATTGAGAGGGTTGATGGAGAAGTTTAGAGAGAATAAGTATGATCTACATATAATATTTATTGATTTAGAGAAAGCATACGTTTAAATTTCAAAAGAAGTGCTATGGAGAGTTCTAGAAAAGAAAGGGGTTAATAATGCTTATATTCAAGTCATTAAGGATATGTATGCAAGAGTTGTTACTTGTGTTCAAACACAATATGGTTTGACCAAGTATTTTCCTAATTTAGTTGGATTACATCAAGGATCAACCTTAAGCACCTTTATCTTTTTGCTTTAGTCGTAGATGTTTTTACTAGACATTTGCAAGAGAATGTTCCCTGGTGTATGCTTTTTACTTATGATATTCTTCTTGTATATAATACTAGAGAGGGAGTTGAAGGTAAACTCGAATTATTGAGGTCAACTTTAGAGTCTAAAGATTTTCATTTGAGTATATCTAAAATCGAATATATATTATGTAATTTTTTTAGTAATAGATCTAGTGGGGGTTTTGTGACTTTGAACGAGCAAGTCATGATTAATAAGTGTACTTATTTTAGAGATCTTATGTTTATTGTTCAGAGTGATAGAGAAATAGATTAGGATACTATTAGTAGAATTCAAGTTGGATGGTTGAAGTGGAGAAATGTTTTAGGTTTGTTGTGGGATATAGAAGTAACACTCAAACTTAAAGGAAAATATTTTTATAAGACAGTTATGAGACCTGCAATGCTTTATGGCGCAGAATGTTGACCATTAAAGAAGAAGCATAATATCAAGTTAAGTGTTGCTGATATGAGAATGTTCAGGTGGATGAGTGAATTTACTCTTAAAGATATGATACGAACAGGCATATCCGTGAAAAGGTTGGAGTAGCTCCAGTGACAAATAAGATTAGTGACTGCCTTAGATATTTTTTCTCCTATTGTTTTATTAAGATTTGTTTGGGAATTGTTAATGAAAAAAATATATTTATTCATATTTTCCAGGAAAAAAATATAATTATAAATTAGTTGCAATTGAATCAAACACCAAATGTAAATTGTGAAGTAAAATGTATTTTTAATTTCTCTAATTCTTTCAAATTAAACATGCATGCATAGGCTTCTGGTTTTTTGGATAAAAATGAGAAAGAGAAAATGGAAACTAAAAATGATGAAGGAATTAAAATGAAAAGTTTTTCTATCACTAGTTTAGTTAAGAAGAAATTGAATTTATTTCTTATTTTTTAAAATTTAAAGTTTTAACTTTTTTATTTTTTGGTGAAGTCTTAAAAGGGGACCAAAATCCTCTACTGCTCCCATAGCACATCAAAATGAAAAAAATACCTAATAATTGATGGACCCAAACTAGCATAAAAAAAATAATAAAAGAGACAAATAGTCAAACCCCAAAAAAATAACAGAAAAAATCTGCCCAAAATCTGTATATGACAGTAAGTTCAATGTAGAGAACCTTGCCAAAAATCTGGTGAGAAAACAGAAGTACCCCATTTTGATAGCTCAAATGCATTAACACAGTCTTTTACTTATTATAATGAGCCATTCATAAAATTTACATAAACAAAATTGATGATGTTTCATTGACACTCAATGACATATTATGAACACCCATCATCTTCATATTAACTTTTTTATATTTTGGTGAAGTCCTAAAAGGGGACCAAAATACTCTACTGCTCCCATAGCACATCAAAATGAAAAAAAAGACCTAATAATTGAAGGACTCCAAACTAGCATAAAAAAAATAAAAGAAAAGGTTGACAAATAGTCAAACCCCAAAAAAATAACAGAAAAAATCTGCCCAAAATCTGTATATGACAGTAAGTTCAATGTAGAGAACCTTGCCAAAAATCTGTTGAGAAAACAGAAGTAGCCCAGCCACTGGGGCTTCAACAACCAGCCACAAAAAATTCAAAGTGCACGCCAGCATCAACCTAAACTCGAGCTTCATTTGAGACGACTTTTTTTACTACTCCTTAAAGCAGTTTTCTACTAAAAAGCTATTTTAAGTAGCCGTAAGAAAGTCATCCCAGGGGCGGCTTTATTATCGCTTCTTAAAGCAGTTGTCTAGTAAGTTACTTAAAAAAACAGTAAAAAAATCGTCCAAAACGAACATCAGTCAGCACCCTAGTGTACCATCCAGTCCAACCAAAATCAATAACATCCTCAACAGACTTGCAAGCACAAATAATCTCACAAAAGCCAGAGCTGACAATTGTAGTTAGAACACCAAGAGAAATAAAGACAGATAGCGAGATCAAAATAAGCACCAACAGAATAAGGAGCAGCCAAGGAAGATTCTCGACCACCCAATGAAAATATGTTAGAATAATTTTCATCAATGAATTATTTATACAAATATTTAATGCTAAAAATCTCACTTTATTTATTTATATAGTTATAGGAAATCATAATCATCTTGATAGCTCAAATGCATTAACACAGTCTTTTACTTATTATAATGAGCCATTCACAAAATTTCCATGAATAAAATTGATGATGTTTCATTGACACTCAATGACATATTATGAAAACCCAAAATCTTCATATTAACATTTAAATTATTTTGCTTTTTTTTTTTTAATATGCTGGAGTAGCTTCATTGGAACTTGGAAGATAAGATTAGAGAGAGTCACCTTAGATGGTTTGGTCACATAAAACGGCGGTCTTCCGATGACCCACTTAGGAGAGTAGATGTATTAGAATTGACTTATGTTAAGAAAAAGATAGAGGCAAACCTAAAAATGATAAATTATTTTGTGCGGAGGCCGAATGCAGCTCTGCGTCCGGAGGCAAGCCATGTGCAGTCACGTCAGCGGTACCGAGCAGTACCGAGCCGCAATACACAACGAATGGGTGATGTGGCGCATTCTGATTGATCTTCGGACTGCATTTGATGTCCACACAGAATATTTAATCCCTAAAAAGACTAGTTAGAAAATATGAAAAATGATTTTTCTTTATTTGATTTAAATGAGAATGTTATTGTTAACTGGATAGAAAAGAGAAAAAAAAAAACTCATTTAGTTAATCTCACATAGTGAGATAAAAGATTAATGTTGTTGTTGTTATTATTGTAATAGACACATCAATCTTTTTTTTGTCTTTGCTTTGTTCATTTGCAAAATAAAAATCTAAATTAGTCAATCAGTCTTTGTACTTTCCATCAATCTTTTGGCCATTCAATCAATGAGCTATTATTTTGTTGTCAGCCAACCTTTTGCTTATAAGCACTTGAACATTTATTTTCTACCCACCTTGTTATAATATTTTTGACCTAACATTGATTAAAGAAGATTATGTCGCCTGATCATCAATGCATTATTGTCTCTTAAATTACAGCAAAAAGAATCAAGCCAATACTTCTTGAACTAATGAGCTACCTTCTTTGTTTCTGGCTTTGTTTTTAGTCACTTCAGCATTCATTTTTTTCACCCATCACTTCTTCTTAGTTTTTCTTACATTGCATTAGTTTAAATTTGGTTATCTCCTTATATGGAATTCTCAAGGCTAAAGACATTTCTTCTTTTGCTATCTAAGTTTGAACCAAAGCAATTCTTTTCTAGAAAATCAAAATATCAATCAAGTCAGTGAATTTCTTGTTATTTTTAATTACATAACATATTTATGTGTGATATTTTGATTTCAAACTAAGAAATTACACATGGTAGCAAGCATAGATGGACATGAGATTATGATGAAGTACTAACAAGATTGCACACAAAGATAATGGCTACTATTGTGTGCCGGACCATCCGCAGCTGTGTATAAATACTATTAATAAATCAAGTTTTTACAGCACTTTTTTTCATTAACTGCAGCGGTTTAAACACCTACTAAATTATTTATAACAGATCATGAACTGTTACAAATTTACTGCATTTGTGTTCGCCGAAAAAAACTTTTGCAACGATTTTATGAGTGTTGCTGTAAGAAAGCTTTAGCAATACTTTTAGCATGTGTTAAAATCGCTGCTAAGGGCATTTAGCATATGTTAAAATCGCTGCTAAAGGGCAACATATATATATATATAATGCCAAACAATTGATTCCTACAACTGATATCATATAAACATTACAACCCACAAGCATATGAGTGAACATATCTTACAAAATCTCCAACAAGTACAATTTTAAAGTATCATAAACATTTACATATTATGATGTAAAAATTAATTACAAAGGATATACACCAACATTTTAACTTTTTTGGCAAATTTTATTTGTATCAAATTTTTTTAAACATGAACGTAATAATTAGAAAACCACAGTGCTATGAGATTAGAACATCATTAAGAAAAAAATATTATCTAATAATTACAAAGAGAGACATTCCATTTCCTCAATTAAATAGGTCTCTTTATGATCTCAGGCTCTCCTTACAGCTCTTAGCATCAGCTTTTTCATATTGAAAGAAACAGCTAAAGAAGCAATAAAATCACAAAATACAAGAGTAGTACATTAGAGGCACAAAAATTGGGCCAAATATATGACAAAGTTTGTAAACTGCTGAGAAAATCAGGCTTTGCAATTCATCAATAAAAGCAAGATAATGGTAAAATGACTAAAATCAGAATTTCACTATTTTAATTTTATGTGGAATCAATAACATTACACTTGATGGAGCTTTAAAAGGGTTACCTAAACAAAGGGATTGTTATATCTATCAATTTTAGATTTCGTTTGGGACATCTTTTTCGCTATTTTTTAAAATAGCTTTTCAGTACAAAAATTTTGAGAATTAGAAATTTTTGTACTAGAAAGCTGTTTTAGAAAGCACCAAAAACACTATCCCAAATGAAGCCTTAGTAGTCCTTCAAAACGTTATTTTTTAAAATTCAAGCAAACAAATGGTTATTAGGTCATCTTATATATGTTGCAGATAAAATCAGAAAAGTTGGTGATCTGTAATATTTCAAATGGCAAGTATACAGGAGAAATT